AAAAATAATAATGGTTTACTCAGTGACCCTAAATGCACCAGAAACTGCATTATTTTTAGATATCTGAAAATGAATAAAATACTTTAACTTCTTCTAAAAGTAAAGTAAAGTAAAGTAAAGTAAAGTAAAATAAAATAAGGACTCTTTAGATAGTCAATCACATACTCAAAGTAAACCTAAAAATTAGACTGACATGCCAGAAAGCATCTGAAAATAAAATAGAAATATAAAAAAATTATAAAACAAATACATAAAAGTACTCATGTAACTACATAAAACTACTAATGACTTACTCAAAATGACTCTAAATATTAAACTGATATGCTAAAAAGTATTAATTAAAAACAAATTATTAAAAAATAAACAAAGGACTCCTAAAGTAGTCAATGTCTTACTATAAGTAAACCTAAATATTAAACTGATGTGCCAGAAAGTATCTGAAAATAATAATGAACTAAAATAATAAAAATTTAATAAAAGTAATACAATGACTACTAAAATAAAACTACTCATGACTTATTTAAAGCAACACTAAAAGTTAACCTGTCATGCTAGCAAGTATCTGAAAAAAAATCTGATCTAAACAAAAAGGAAAAAAATAAATAAAGGAGTCAATGGATAAATAAAGTGACCCTGAATGTTAAACTGATGCATCAGAAGGCATCTGACAGCAAAATAAACTAGTAATAAGAAAAATGAATAAAGGACTCGTTAGAGATTGAATGACTTACTCAAAGTGACCCTGAACTAAACTGAGCGCATCACATGCATCACATCCAGCTTAAAAGTTCAGCAAAATCCACAACTAATACCTTTACAATTCAGCGATGTTTGCGTCAGTTCAGAAATAAACGCTGAGACCCTCACAGCATCACTCGTCTGAATGACAGCAGACTGAAGTCATGTCATCAGGACAGAGAGACGACACGAGGATCCGCTGATACAGCGACGGCTGGACAAACGGCCGACGGATCCAACGAATGCGGGGCAGTTTAGTCAGAACTGATTACTCAGAGCAAAACAATCAGCATTTAACCACAATTTATTAGCAAACGGCTTTCCGCAATGATATACAATAGATATGAGAGGCTTGCTCTCGGATTTAAAACGATAAAAACAGTTCTGGACAGAACAAAGCTTTCATAACCATAATAATAAAGCGAGAATACATTTAAGGAAAAAAAAAATAATAATAAAAAAAAAATAAAAATAAATAAAAAAAAAGAGCAGAGAAAAAAAAAAAAATAATAAATAAAATAAAAAAATAAAATAAAATAAAAATATATATATAAAATATTAAATATAAAAAAAAATAATAATAATAAAAAATTAAAAATTAAAAATAAAAAAAATAAACAAATTAAAAAATAAAATAAAATATAAAATAAAATAAAAAATAAAAAATAAAATATAAAATATAATAAATTAATAATAATAAAAAAAATGAATGAATAAATAAATAAATAAATAAAATAAAATGAATCTTTAGGTAGTCAAACTACTTAAAGTGCCCTTAAATGTTGAATAAACATGCCAAAAAGTATCTAAAAAATAAATTAATAAAATAAAATAAAAGGACTCCTAAGGAAGTCAAACTTCTAATGACTTATAAATAAATAAACACATAAAAAAAAATAATAATAATAATAAATAAAAAAATTGGATATAAAATAAAATAGAATAAAAATAAATAAAGGTCTCTTTAGGAAGTCAAACTGCTAATGATTTAAAGTGACTCAAAACATTGAAAACAAATATTACAAAAAAATTATAAAATAAAATAAGTAAATGAAAAAATACAATAAAATGTAAATATAAAATAAATAAATTAATATTAATTTAAAAAAAAAAAAGGAAGTCAAACGGCTCCTGACTTAAAGTGACCCAAACCTTTGAAAAGACATGCCAGAAAGTGCACTAAAAATGCTGGGTTAACTCTGGACAAACCCAGCGATTGGGTTGCTTTCAATCAACAGTTGGGTTAAATGTTTAACCCAACCTTCTGGGCAGTAACCCAGCTGCTGGGTCAAAACATTTTTTTAGTATTTAACCCAGCATTTTTTAGAGTGTATCTAAATAAAATAAAATAAAATGAAACGCTCTTTAGTGAAAGTGAAGTGACGTGTGGCCAAGTACGGTGACCCTACTCGAAATTCATGCTCTTCATTAAACCCACCCAAGTGCACACACACAGCACTGAACACACGACTGCCCCCTTCAGAGAGCCAGACTAATGAATTACTCCAAGTAAACATTAAACGAACACACCAGAGAGCACTTCTCTGCGGTCTCACTCAGTGTCAAAGGATCCGAGGTGATTCTGTAGCAACCAGAGAAGATCAACAGAGCACAAGCAACCTCTGAGAAGATAACTAACTAAACCAGGTCTTTTCATTTGCTTCTAAAGTCCGTCTCTCATTGGTTAATCCGCCTCTGAGGTGAATGTTTTCAGCTCCTAATGGAGCATGCAGTAAATTCAGCAGTGACTCGTCATCCGTCTACAAAACACATGAACCTCTGGAGCTGCTTCCACTCTGTTCGTCTTCACCTCTGACGAATGGTCAAGCAGGCATGCTGCTGGGATGGGTAGTTAGTCCTGGTCAACGTGACACAGCGAGATAAACCTCCCGGAGGACTGAGGGTCGGATCTGTCCCACACCACAGATAATGGTGCAGTAATGCAGTGCTGCATTCATCTAATGCACCAATACATCAACTAACATACATCGCTGCTTCATGCTCGCAGACAACTTTAACGTAATTTTAGGCATTGAAGGAATAGTTCAGGCCAAAAATGAAAATGTGCTTGAAATGTGCTCACCCTCAGATCATCCCAGATGTGGATGAGTTTGTTTCTTCATCACGTTTGTAGAAATGTAGCATTGCATCAGTGTCTCATCAATGGATGCTCAGCAGTGAATCACACATACACACTCACACACATACACACTCACACTCACACACACATACACACACTCACACACTCACACACACACCCTCACTCTCTCTCTCTCACACATACACACTCACTCACTCACACACACACACACTCATTCACTCACTCTCACACATACACACTCTCACACATACACACTCACACTCAGTCACTCACACACACACATACACACATACACACTCACACACATACACACTCACACTCACAC